TGTGTCTGTGTGTGTGTGTGTGTGTAGAGAGGGCAGGTGGAAGGTCCATGGGCCTGATCTGGCCTGCAGGAACAGCCCTGTGCCACTCTTCTGGCCCACGGGGGCCATGGGACCAGATGAGTTTGACATCCCTGCATTACAGAGTCAGCACAATGAGGCCTTATGCAAGTGACTGAAGAACACCTACCACTGAGGATTTTATGACTGCTAATACTTTGTTTCACCACAAAGCCACGGGCTTCCTGTGAAGCCTTACATAATTGTTTGTCTACTATTCAATCTGTGAACTGGAAATACCACCCCCTTAAGCCTTGTTTACTGGCAGTAGCATATATAATACTGTGAAGGGTCGAGCTGGCATGGAGACACAGGACTTCTGCACAGTTACAGCTGATCTCTTACAATCAGTGTAACTTGGAAACAGGCCCCCATGGCTTCTTTCACAGACCTGCTTTATCCTGCACTTTCCTCTCAGCCTCTCCCAAGGTTTTTACCATTTGGGGAGGAGAAGGGGCATATCTTGTATTTTGTTTTATAGCACAGAAAACTAAAGACAATATTCACCCTACACTCAAATGGGCTCAGCCAGCCATCCCTCAGGCTTCTATTTATGGTTATCTATCCTGAGAGCTGAAATCTGACATTTTGGCAACTGCTCCTCTTCAGGAATTTTATTTCCCTTTTAAAATCCCTTTATTGTTTCATGATCTTTGAATAGAAACGTTACTGCCATCAGTAGAGGAGAGCAAACTCCCTTAATGGTCCATTTGTAAGAAACTCCTCTGGGAGAAATAAAAATACTGTAAACATTTTTCTCACTGATGTGAAACAGGGTTTTGAGTCTCACTTTCCTTACTTCAAATTTCTCTCAGTATTACGGTAGCTGCTATTACCGCAACACACTGATGTCTGCAACTGGAAGTTCACAAAGCACCGATTTCTAAAGCATGCTCACAAGCCAAAGTAGGAAATAACAAGAGCACAACTGAGGGAATTGTTCTATTCATCCATGAAGGCTGTACACCAACTAACCTTAGAGGGAAGTAGCAGCAACTGTATGCAATGTAATCCTACTACAAAGAAACAGTTTTCCAGAACACACAGAAATGGGATTACCTGTTTAGCATTGTTGTTTGCTGTTCTTTTCATCTCATCAAACAATCCCCTGGAAGTTTTCAGGTCCTAAACACAAAACATATTATTGTAAAGAATGAAACCAAGAGGGCTGTGAACACCGACGTACCAACTCCATAATCTACCTTATCACACTAGGTTACCTGCAGGAAGACCAGCTAGGACTCCCTCACCTAAGAAAATGGATTACCAGATAGTGTCCTCACTCCAAATCCATTAAAACTGGTTTGTGCCTCTCCTGTAGTGACCACAGACTGCCCAAACTTGTCATCGAGTTTTCATAGTTTAGTTAGTCCCTTCCTGCTCCCTATATGGTTTTTCAAAGTTGTAGATCCACTATAGGATGCCCAAAAATCTAATAACTCTAAAAATGGAAAAGCCTATATACCAAAGGATTTATGACACAGCCTTTAACAAAGAGCAGGGCTCAGAAATAAATTTAACGAATGAGCTAAGCTGGAAAATTGGGGTGGAAATCAGGAAGGAGAAATCACCTTGTCAGGGCAGAGTTGTTCTGTTGGAGTCTTATCCCTCCACAGTCAAAGCTCATGGGAAGTAATGAATAGATAAAATGTAATAGGAAGGGAAAAGCAATCTATTGTATACATTCTGTCCCCTTTAAGGGATGCAACGCATATCTGGGGAGCCCATAATACCACACCATTAGCACTACCCTACAGTGCAGTACAGAGCTGGATTTGAAAAGCTCCCGCAGGTTTCTGGTGAGGGCTGCACCAGTTAGTACCATAGGGGAAAGTCTGGTGGTGGCCTCAGACAAGCAGGCCTTTGGAAGGCCGAAGGCAGCAGGTTTCTCTCTATCTCATCTCAAACATCAGATTTAAGCTCTCCATCCCTTTTCCTTCCTTTCAGTATCCCACAAGGAAACAGATCTGATGCCATCTTTTCTCATCAACTCTTCCCTATCTCCTATGAGCTGGGTTTGCCCCTTATATTCTTTGGTTTCTTACAGCTCTAATGTTTTCAAGTGTTTAACTTAAAAGAGCCACTGACTTACAAATCACTTTGGTTCTTCTGAAAAAATACTTCTCATCTTTTTGTAAAAACCTGGATGATGTGATGTCATACAATGCTGCCAGGTGAAAAAGGGTTGGACTGCTGTGCACTCCACAGAAAGTGAGAGAGGACATTACAAAGAAATGTAAAGATTACCCAGCATGGGGTTTATCGAAATTTCTTTCTTCATTTTGTAATCAGTGGACTTTGTCCTGAACAATGACTGTGATCATCACTGCCACAAAAGAAACATAATGGTTTATTCAAATGTATTTTATGCAAGGGAAGTCTTTGAAACCCTCTGCAATTGGTGTTTAGATTAGATTCTAAAAGAAAAGAAAAATATAGTAAGGAATGGAGACAGACTGATAATTACTGCAAGTTAAGTCTGGAGAGAACTTCTGATGATACACTAATATCTATCTCCAGACTGAGGGTCAGATTAGTTATTATACAATGAAGCAATCCTAATTTAGTACAATAAAAAACACTAATATGTATAAAGCAAGGCTACATTCAACAGATGGAAAGAGCAGTGAATTCATGCAATTGGAGGGAAACATAAGATGGTCAGAAAATGGATGCAAGCAGGTTCAAGTATTTGGCATTCTGCACCAATGAGAAGGGAAAGCAAGTGCAGCTTACAATAGCTGAGGCAGAAGGGTCATGTCACCATAAAGCAAACTAAGAAGGGAACGAACAATAAAGCAGCTACTCTGATAACTTCAGCCTATTCTGCATCTTCTTCTTGATTACTTTTCTGGTTATATCTCATCCTGACTCCTCAGTGTCTACTAATGCTCCCACGCAGCATTAATTTGATGGAAGGTACTCTACTCTGCCATGTACATCCTCCTACAGACTGGTAAAAAGAACCTAACTTGCATCACTTCTTATGACAAGTGGACCAAAGGCAGAACTGTTCTTTTGGATAAGGAACAGGAATTGTAAGACCAAGCTTTGCAAACCTTTCTTGTATAGAAGAGAAACAGCAGATGTTCATGGGTAGTTGATAGCTCCAGCAGGTGGAGAAGTAATACATTTAAATAAATACCTCACATAACAAACTCTCTGCTTTAGCAAAGTAAAGGATTAAAAATTATGCAAAACAAATATTGGCAATGTTGTTATAGTGACACAAACCTACACTCTGTTTGCCAAAAAATCCTTTCCCAGTAAACTATTTGCCTGAAAAAACACACACTGAACATGTGCAGTTAGCATTAAGCTCTTATTTTATACAAATCACTAATAACCAATCCCCATCAGAATGAAAATGTGTAAAAGTCCACACTACTTACACTCTTCCAGCTTACGCTTTTTGATGGCTAATGTGATAATTCCCCAGTCACTGGGAAATACTGATACTACCAAGTCTGGACCTCCTAGAACCTGCAGTTATATGCAGGATTGAAGGATTCTTATATATTTTAATGTGTGGCCCCCATTTAACAGCAGTATGAGTCTATGGCAGAAAAAATAGCTTTAATCTTGGGATTCCACATACTTTGCCTTGAAAAAGGGCTGACTACTCTCATTTTTACCAAATATTTTTCAACAATCAAAATGCAAAAGAAGCTAAAATATATTAAAGGGTATGTTAATACTTGAGCTTGACATTCTTTTCCTGGATGTGGGTTTGGTGGAGTAACTACACACGTATACATATGAGAGAACAAAAGGAAACACATACCTTTAAGTAGAACTTGGATATCTCAAACAACCGCTGGCTGCAGGACGTAAAGCATTCGTGGTCCTCTGCAATGCCGCGTTTCTGAAGTGTTTTAGCAACCACTTCCTTCAGCATCTTGGAAACAATAGGCACACTTGGAAATCAGGACCAAGAATAAAACCAAACATAACTTCTTCCTCTCTTGCTCCCAAGATTAATTTTAGGGAGAGACAAGTGAATTGTACAAGAGACTGGGAGTTTTGGTAACCCTGAAGTCCAAGTTTTGGTTCTACCACTAATTCATTAGATAGTTTTAAACAATCTATTTCCATCTCCTTCACCTGGTAAATGCAGAGAATACCCTCTCTTATCTACCTCACAGGAGTGTTGAAGATAACTTAATAAAGTGCTCTGCACAGAGAATGCTTTAAATACACTGCTGAGCAATTGTTACCAGTACATACTGTATCACTTCATACATAATTAAATTGTTTATCCCAAGTATAATTTGTACAACATCCTTCTTAAATCCTCATCGACTGGGAAGTATCACATGATGATGTACAAACAGGAGTTGGTAAGGAATTTTCTCATCAAAATAATTTACTGAAGGAAAATGTCCTTTCTGTAAAATCCAAATTTCTGTGGGGAAAAATCTAAACAGCAAGTCCTTTGCTTCCTGTCTGGAAAGTTCTTGTGAATCTGTCTGTCATTAAAAAATTGTATTTCAATCCTTCTGAAATGGAATTTGGGGGACAATCCCTCCCTTTCCACAAAGCATTGGCATTTTTTTACTTTTAAGTCAACATAGGATGAAAAAATTTCCCCTTTATTTGTAACAGATGTGAAGTCCTGTAATTATTATTATGGTTACCAGAAATATGCAAGGTAAGGCCTTAAGTAGAGTTTAAGTTAGGATTATAGTCCAGGAGATATGAGTGGTAAGAATTTTTTGTTGATATCTTTTATCAGACTAACCATCATTAATGCCAGGCATGGATTTTTCTCTGGTGTCTTCACTTTTACTCATCAGTTTTCTATATTTCCAAGCCTCTAATTTATATTGATTGGTATCCATTTTCCTTTTTTCTGCTTTTATACATCATACCTTTGTATTTAGCTTAGACAATATATAGTACTTGTCCTGCTGTCCTGCATGCCTTACCATCATAATTTTCCTTGATTTCATCAGGCTTCACCTGATTAGGGCAATATAAAAAGAAATAGACACAAAAAGTGAGGTAGTCTTATTTCATTTTTATAGAACAAAATCTTTACCCGTGTATGTTTCTGAGATCTAGATTCCTTCACTGGCTTTGAAGTTTCCGACTCTTGCGTACTTCCATGACTTGTCGAGCCAGCCTTCATGGATACTTTTTTAGGTTGATTACTAGGTTGCTTAACAGGCACAGAAGTTAGAGATCTTGATCTTTCTGAGGATTGTCTTGTGGCAGCAATGGAATGGTGACTCCCACTACTTCCACTTGCCTGAGACAGGACAGAATCTGTGCTTTCGGATTTTGTTAGTCTGATGAGAAAAGAATGAAAAAAGATTTTAAGTGATTATGATCTCTGGGGTTTCGCCTCTACTACTTAAAATATTGCAAAAACATAGAATACTCTTCAAATGGAGGCTGAAAATGGTGTAAGGCACTCAACTGTTATCTATATTTCCTCCCTATTGATGGAAGAACACTTTTTCCTTACCTATCAATTTGTTCACTGGTGTGGTTAATGCACAGTAGTTTCAATTTTGCACAGTTTTCAATCTGTGCTATCACAAACGCTACAGAAAAAAATCAGCTGGGAACAAATCATGCTAGCTGTAAAAACACAGGAAAGATGCATACAGAAGTGGGAGGTGGTCAGAAAGACTGCAGAAATTTCTTCCCCCA